TTGGTCAGATCATTAGTAACCTAAATTTGGTAAAGTTGCATTTTTGAAACATTAATCTCAAATTGTTCTCACAAGGAGTATTACCATAGTTTCTCATATTTGAGGGGGGAAGAAACTATTAGTCCCGAAGTCAGTCAACCAACATATAACAAGAGTAACAACCTCAGCCTTCAGATTTTGGTCTGTTTCATATATTATCCACACTTGGGTATCTGCCACATCTAGGCCCTCCAGTTCAGTTGTAATTTCTAGGACATTTTATGAGATCAGCTCAAATTTCTTGATAAACACTATCTTGTAATACACCCTTTTGCTTTCCCAGGTAAATATGCTCATTTACCTGATGGAGTTTGAATCTGTTAGAAGGTAAGGCAATTCTAAGCAGCTAATAGCTTTCTGGAAGTGGTACATGCCATCTAAATGAATGTATAGTTTCATAACCATAGGTATCTGATTTTTAAAAAATCATTTTTTAGAGATTACACATACTATTTGCTTTTATGATTATTGTATCACATAAATGTAATTCATTCGATACAGACTTGAAAGTTTGCTTAATGGACAAACTTTATGGACATTCATGCATTCATGCATGCAGTCTTCCAATGACTAAATGCTGTGATGACGGGTGGAGAGGGAGGTGGGAGGGGGGATCGGGATGGGGAATACATGTAAATCCATGGCTGATTCATGTCAATGTATGACAAAAACCACTACAATATTGTAAAGTAATTAGCCTCCAACTAATAAATGAAAAAAAATTAAAAATAAATAAAAATAAAAACAAGAGATTAGAAAAGCAAAAAAAAAAAAAAAAATGCTGTGATGGTGCCTTGAACATCTCTTGCAGCATCGCCGGCCCTGAGCTCAAGGGCAGCAGCTCAGTACTCAGTGAGCAAGTACTCACCAGCCTCATGCAATGAAGTCTTACAGGGAAAAGTAGTTAACAACTAAAATTACTTAATAATACTATGAGCCATTCATTCCATGAACTGTTTGTCACAAACTTATGAGCTAACGAATAACATTTGATAGGCATCAGGCATGGAGCTATGCACAATCCATTCTTAGAATTACTTCATGGGGACAGTGCTATCACTCTCAGGAAACTGAGTCACAGATGTTAACTAGATCATACAGAGTTGATGGGTGGAGTCAACATTTGAAGTTTGGCCTTCTAGTTTTGCCACTATGTACTTATTAATGTTCATGGAAATCAGCAAGCTATTTCATCATTAAAGTCTGGATCTTCAAAGTAAGGGATTTCTTTCTTCGGCCAGTGTAAATTCAAAGTTACTAATAGTTATGTGATGGAACCTAAGCTTCTTAAATTTTTGATTTTTGTTTTAGAACACAAAATGTTTGATTTCAGCTTTATGCAAATATAGTAATAATCTTTTCACAAAAATAGTTAAGCTAGGCAAATTGGCTTAGCCTTTCCTTGAATTTTGGATAAATCTGGTTGATGTGTGACGCACGGGTACCTAGTGCAGCTTTTTGTTAAGCAAGTCATGCTTAGGTAAGCACAAGACTAGTTTCTCTTTTTAAAGACTTGGCTGTCTGCTGTCCTCATAGTATAGAGCTGAGCCCTAGGTGGGTGCTGCCTAATGTGAATGGCTAATGGCTTTACACAGTGTTTAGTAATCAGATGGTCAAAGCCCTATTACTTAAGTACAGTTGACTTACAAAGTTGTGTTAGTTTCTGTGGTGTACAGCAAAGTGATTAATTTATACCTATGTACATTCTTGTTATTTAATTAAAATTTTTTTTTTTGCCACACCACATGGTATGTGGGATCTTAGTTCCCAGACATGATTGAACTTGTACCCCCTGCATTGGAAGCACAGTCTTAACCACTGGACATCCAAGGAAGTCCTCATATTCTTTTTCAAATAATTGTCATTATGGTTTATTACAGGATATTGAATATAGTTCCCTATGCTGTAGGTTTGCCTTGTCTTCCATTCTAGTGGGTTGAGCTGTATACCCAGGGCTTCTAAAACATGTACTCAGTTCAACCCCATTTACTCTCTTCAGGCCCTTAGTTAATTCTGTAAGTCTTTAATTCTGTCAACACTAGCTAATTTCTACTCTGCATTATCTTTTGTGTTGAAGTTTTATAGTAGATGATGCTTTGTAACTGAATCAAGTATCATACCTAGGGTGAAAAACATCTCTTGGGGGAAGAACATCAGTTTAAGCACTAACCTATAATTTTCTCCAGGGTTACTCTGAAGGCTACTCGTTAAAAAATGCAAACAGGTGATCAATATCAACTGATTTTTATTGATTGTAGACAGGCCACAGAACTAGTTTTCTGTGAAAACATCTGGGAACACCTTGGAGATAAAGGGTGTCATTAGCTGTTGCCAACATCTGTGTGACATGTTTCTCTCCCATTCCCTCTTACACAAGCATTGCTCCAGGATTAGTTCTGAACTTAGACTATGCACAACTAATTTTAGAAGAATGTTAATCCATTTTTTCCCAGAAGAGTCCACCTGGGCCACTCACAGTCAAATCCTAAAATGCAGGCAAGAAGGCATCTTTTGAAGGGAAAGACACCCCCAGAGTGGCAAAGCAACTAGTTCAAGGTTACTCCGTGATGCTTCTCCCCAGGCTTCAGTGTGACAGAAGCTGGGGGACATGCAGCCTCTAGGGGCCTGTAGGGAAATTTGATTTGTAGGGGATCTAGGGCTTACTCTTTATTACAAGTACACTGTTGCATATGTGTGTTTTGTAATGCCAACGGCTTCCCATCAAAACCCATAGCATATGCTCAGTGGGTTTGCAGCACCTGTAGTAAGTGCTGTAATTTCATAGAAAGAAGATTCCTCGACTGAGTGTGGAGTCACTGCATGCTGGGTCCCCACTGCTGCCATTCTAGGTGTCAGGGAGCATGTATGCATGTAAAGGATGACCAGTCTGGCAGTAAAAAAGTCACACCTTTAAGTTTGTTTAGCCCAACAGTCCCTGAAGTTGGTTACAAACCATTTTTTCTCAGACATGCTCTCATAAATAATACATGAAATTAATCATGCTTTTGGTTGAATATGTGTTACTTTGGAGGAAAGGCTATTCTAAATGTTTATCAAAAGTATACTCTTTAAACATGTGTACAGGACTTCCCTGGTGGTCCAGTGGTTAAGAATCCGCCTGCAATGCAGGAGACATGGCTCTGATCCCTGGGGTCTAGGAAGATACCACATGGCTCAGCGCAACTAAGCTGATGTGCTGCAGTTACTGAAGCTGGTGCATCCTAGAGCCCATGTTCCCAACAAGAGAAGCCACGACAACGAGAAGCCTGTGAGAAAGTAGTCCCCTTTTGCTGCAACTACACAAAGTCTATACACAGCAGCAAAGACCCAATGCAGCCAAAAAGGAATATTAAAAAAAAATTCACTTATAAAAATAAATGTGTACCTTTTAATGAGATTAGACACTAAAAACAGTGTAAAATTTGCTAACAAAGAAAACGTTCAAGATGCAGCTTGTGAAAGTAAAAATTTTTATTCTGATTGATTTCTCAACGTATAGTTCAATATAAGGCCAGTTTTTAATGGCAGAGATTTGGTTCCACGGAAACTCCATGATGCTACAGAGAGCTACTACTTTTTCCAGGAAGTAGGTAAACAGCTGGAAACAGAAAGCACTTTCTAGCAGCATGGCAACTCATTAAACTGCAGAGTGACCAGGTCTGCAACTTTTATACTAAAAATGGCGCAAACATTAGCTGGTGACAGAAGGGAGAAGTGGGGAGCAAGATGTGAACATTGAAAGAAGCGATATGTGTCTTGTAAAGAGGACAAAAACCCAAGGACAGCTATAAAGATTTGAAAGGATAATTATAGAAAAGGGAACCAAATATTTTACCCAAATGTTTTTTAGAGCCTTTCTGTAGAGATACAAATATATATATATATATTTATCCAAAAATATGTTTTATACAGATAAATGATTTCTCAAATAAGGATGGAACCAAAGCTACAGTTATAACATAAAGCACTGTCTTTTGTAAGACTATTTATCCACCTGAATTTTCAATTTGAGGTTAGTGCATTAAATATTTTCAAATATTGACATCCTTTTCATGTATATAAATCAAGTAGGCATTATTTTTTAAAAGGGTTTTCAGGTTAAACAGTATTTTTCTAAGATCCTGTGCATATCAAACTTATGACAAGCCCCATTAAGAATCATTATTTAATAAACATATCAAAAAGGGCTATGGTCAAATTTTCTTCTTTATAGGAAACATTTAATTTTCTGATTTCGAGTTTACAAGTGTTGAAAATGCACAAGAAAGCTATTACTTCACAAGTACTTTTATGTTAAGATATTTTGATTCAATATACATGGCAATATATCTCCACACATTGTAACCAAAAGTATGTTTTTTTTTCCTTAAAAAAATGGGGATGTAACATTAACAATCACTATAAAATAAAGCACACAGTATTTTGGTGAATTTACAAATCTTTTTTCCCAAGTGTAAAGGCTACAAAAATTCCTAAAAATTAGAGAACACTGAAAACATATTAAAATTTGACATCCAACTTTATATTATTTCCATTTTGCCCTGAAAGATAACTTAAAAAATATGACCCTGCTGGAACAGGCCATCTTACTTAATATAAAAAATTGGTGAGAGCAAGAAACTGTATCACTGATATGTATAATTTTTGTAAATAGTTATCTCTTCAAATCATTAGAAAAATGCTTAAAGATAAAAAACAAAATAAAATAAAATAAAATATGATGGTGGTCCCTAAACTATTTTGAAGGCAGGTAGCTTAGTCTAAGCTAAAACATTTTTTTCACTCATAGGAATCATCCTCCCCTCAAATGCCCTTTAAAAAAATGCATGAAACAATGCAATAGTAGCAAGAATCAAAGAACAGAAAATGTATTTTCAGGAACAGAAAAAAATCTCTAGTGCTGAAAGATATAGTAAAAAGCAGATTTCTTTGGGGACATTAATCAATTAGATTATAATTCATTATGAAGATTTCTCTTTTCTATTACGGGGAGAGTCTGCTCCATTTGAAGTTACTGTTCCATTGACACCATTTTCTGAAAAGAGAAAAAAAATCAGGATTACTTTCTTTTATAAATAAGTGTAAATGACAGTATCTTTTATACATAAAGGTACCTTCAGAAAAGAAAATTTAAAACCCAATATATAACTCTTACGCCCTTAGGTGAAACTTACTAGTGCTTAATCCATACGAGTATTTAACCAATCATAAAACACGCTAACAAGTTAAACACAATGAACTGAAAGCAGCAAATTAAAAGGAATTAATAGTATGTCAAATATATCTCAAAAAGTAGTTCAAAAAAGGAAAGCAAGAACCACAAGAATTATACAACAAAGCAACACTTGCATAGAAAAACAGGAATATTTTTTACACTGGACAGCAGACAAGTGAGGTTCTTGGGGATATGTTTCTTTACAACATATTAAAAAATTGCCATTTAGGATAACTCTTATGTTTAAGAGTGTTATAATGGCCTTCTTCAAGCTAGGGTGGAATAACTGATGTCAGACCAATCCTCCCTCCAAAAATATCCATAAAAGGAGAACATAAAAATGGCTATTTGAAGGCACTGGGGGAAAAAACAAGTCAGCTAAGAATATTTCTCCCCCAAGGGATTTGCCAGCTACTAAATGAGCACATAGCACACATATACACACAAATGTGCACACACACCAAGCAAGACTCAGAGAAATCCAGCAGAAAGTAACTCTGTGAACAAAAACCTACACAGAGAATTGGGACGTCTCACAATGATAGGGAGATAAAAATAAGTATTCGGCGCCTGTCAGAGAAGAAAGTCCTTAGAAATAGTTGATGTCCTAGGAATGAGGGTGAACTGGAAATAGATAGGCTTCAGTGATATAGAGAAATAGTTGATGTCCTAGGAATGAGGGTGAACTGGAAATAGATAGGCTTCAGTGACACAGAATGATCCACTCATATTTAATCCAGAGTTCCTACTGATGCAGCCACAGTATCTACATTCTTTTACACAAAACATTCAGTATTCAATTAAAAATTACCAGTCGTGTTAGAAAACAAGACCAAATGACTGAAAACTAAGAGAAAAAAAAATATCAGAAATAGATCCTCAGATGAGCCAGATGTGGAGCTGTCAGACAGGGACATTAATAGAACAATGACTAATAAAAATAAATGCAAAGACAAGTGGTTTCATCCAAGGACTCAAAGATCTTTAATCCTAGGACTGGAAAATACCACAACTAAAAATATAAATTTAATAAAAATTTAACAGCAGATTAGACACAACAGAAGAGATTAGTGAACTAGAAAAAAATACTCATATTGAAACTCAGAAAATAAAGGATGGAAAAAAACCAGAAAAGCATGAAAAGATATAAAGGGTGTTTAAACACATGTACTGGAATTCCCAAAGGACAGGAGAAAGAGAATGGGGCAGAAGCAATATCTGAAGAAATAATGGTGAAGAATTTCCCCAAACGTAAAAGAAACCAAGCCAAGATTCAAGAAGCTAGGTACAACGCAGGGCAGGATATCCACAAAGAAAATCAAACTTACGCACATCAGAGTATAACTGTCAAAAAAGAGAACAATTTCATCAGACTGGATGAAAACACTAAAATTACACACTGCTTACAAGACACAATTTATATTTAGGGACAACAAAAGGTTTAAGGTAGAAAAATAGGAAACAGGAAAAGGTACACCATGATATAACATAACATTTTACTACAAGAAAATTGGTGAGCCAGCGTGAATTCAGACTAACTAGATGGACATGTGACAATAACAAAGGACACAGTCCACAGGGATTTATAACAACCCTAAACTTTGATGCACCTGTAATGTATCCTCACAATATTTAAAGCAAAAATGTACAAGCTACAAGGAGAAGTGGGTCAATACCTTTTGTAATAACTGACTGAACAAGCAGAACTCCTTCTACCAAGTCAGTAAAGACACAAAAGAATGGACCACACAAATGGACCTGATGCCTACCTACAGAACAACATACTCAACACACAATACACATCCTTGAGAAGTCCAAAGGGAACATTCATCAAAACTGAACAAATGATGAGACATAATGAAGGTCCCAACAAATTTCAAAGAACTGAAATCATTCAGAGTATGCTTTTTAACCACAGTGGAATTAAGGTAGAAATCACTAGTAAAAACTAGAAAATACCCAAATATTTGTAAACTACACAATGTACTTAAAAGTAATCTATGAGTCAAAGAGGAAATCACAATTGGAGTCATAAAATATTTGAAGCTGAATAATAATGAAAAAGATGTATCAAAACCTGTGAAATAAGGGTAAAGCACTGCTGAAAGGGAAGTCTGCCCTTAATTGCAAGTAATTCATGAGAAGGGATAAAAATCAATGATTCATTTTAACAAAGCCACAAATAACAAAACAGCAAATTAAAGGGAAATAAGAACAGAAATCAATGACAGAACTGAGACAATCAGCAAAAGAAGACAAATGTTGGTTCTTGGCTGATGGAAGTGAAAAAGAGAAAGGCATAAATTACTAACATGGGAAGTGGAAAATGGGAATCATTGCTGTTTTACAGGCATTAATAAGTAGATACTATGAATAATTTTACATCAATACATTTCACAAATTTAGATGAAATGGATAAATCCTTGAAAAATACAATTTACCAAAAAAGAAATGATAAGAAAAAATTTGAATAATCCTATTATCTATTAAAGAATGTAAATCTATACCTTCCTATAAAGAAAAGTCTAGGTTGGATAGCTACACTGGTGAATCCTTCCAAACATTTAAATAAGAAATGATGCTGGCATTACATGAAGGACAAACCTGCCCAATACCTTTTATAAAGTCAGCAAAACTCATATCAAAACCTGACAAAAGGGCTAATTTTAGCCTAATCTTTTACATGAACACAGATGGAAAAATCCTAACAAAATATTGAAAAAACCATCCAGCAAAAGAGATACTATCATCAACTTGGATTTAGGCCAGGAAATACATTACCAAAAATACATATCTATATTCTTTATGAATACAGATATAAAAATCCTCAACAAAATACTAGCAAGTCAAATCAAGTGACATTCAAAGGATTATGTACATTACCAGTCAGTGAGCTTTATCCCAGGATTGCATTATATGCTTAACATTAAAAAAATCAATTAATATAATCCATGATAATAATCTAGAAGAGGAAATGGCAACCCACTCCAACGTTCTTGCCAAGATAATCCCATGGACAGAAGAACCTAGTGGGCTACAGTCCATGGAGTCACAGGAAGTCAGGCACACTTGAAGTGACTGAGCACGCATGCATGATAATAATAAAGGATACAAACCATTTGATGATCTCAACAGTTGCAGAAAAAGCAAGTGATAAAACCTAACATCCTTTTACGATAAAAATTACAAACAAACTAAGGAAAAAAGGGAACTTTCTCTACATGTTGAAGCCCATTTAGGCAAAACTCACAGGTAACATTATACTTAAAGGTGAAAGACTGGATGTTTTCCTGCTAAGATCAGGAATAAGGTGAGGATGTCTGTTTTTGCTTATTCAAAATTGTTCTGGAGGTTCTAGCCAGGGTAATTTGGCAAGAAAATGAAATAGAAGGCATCCAGACTGAAGAGGGAAAAGTAAAACTATCTCTTTGCAGATGACATGAGCCTGTATATTGAAAATGCAAAGAAATCCACAAAAATGCAATTAAATAATGAAATAAAACTTTAAATAAAAAACCCCAATAAGTACAGCAATGTTGTAGGATACAAGATCAATATGCAAAAATTCCATTGCATTTCTATAGACTGGCAACGAAAAATCCAAAAATGAAATTAAGAAGACAATTCTATTTACAACAGCATCAAAAAGAATAAAATACTTAGGAATAAATTTAATGAAGAAGTGCAAAACTTATACACTGATACCTATAAAATTTAATTGAAAAAAATTAAAGAAGACATCAAAAGACATAAAGACATCTATGTTCACACTCCCCAAGGCAATCTACAGACCCAAGATACTCCAAATGAAGTCCAGCTGACTTTTTTGCAGGAAAATGATAAACTGACCCTAAAATTTGTATGGAAATGCAAGGCACCCAGAATACCCAAAACATGAAAAAAACAAAACTGGCAGACTCACATTTCATGATTTCAAAACTTACTACAAAGCTACGGTAATCAAGAGAAGGGCATAAGAACAGACATCCAGATGAAAAGAACAGAACAGAGCTAGAAATAAATTACTACTTTTAAGATCAACTGATTTTTTAACAGGAGTATCAAGACAATTAAATGAAAACTAGTTTTTTCCACAAATGGTGCAGAAATAATTGGCTATCAACATGTGAAACAATAAATGTATTAGTACAATGTTATACTTCAGAAAACAGTTTAGCAGTTCTCTGTTAAATATACAGTTATGATATGACCCAGCAATTCCACTCCTAGGTATATCCCAAACAGCAAAAACCAGGTGTTCAAACAAAAATATGTACACGAATATTAACAGCATCAGTCATAGTAGCCCCAACATGGAAACAACCCAAATATTCATCAATTTACGGATAAACATAACACTGTATCTTCATACACTCGTTTATTATTTGGCCATGGAAAAGAATAAAGTTTCGACACATGCTATGTATGATATATATAAATTTTAAACACATACTATGTGAAAAAAAAAATGCCCAGAAAAGGCTAATCTATAGAGACAGAACAGGTAAGAGGTTGCTAGGGGCAGAGGAAAGGAGGGAATGGAATGACTGCTAGTGGGCATGAGGTTTTTTCTGGGTGATACAAATCTTCTGGAATCAGGCAGTGGTATTGAGAAACCTGTATGCAGGTCAGGAAGCAACAGCTAGAACTGGACATGGAACAACAGACTGGTTCCAAATAGGAAAAGGAGTACCTCAAGGCTGTATATTGTCATCCTGCTTATTTAACTTATATGCAGAGTACATCATGAGAAACGCTGGGCTGGATGAAGCATAAGCTGGAATCAAGATTACCGGGAGAAATATCAATAACCTCAGATAGGCAGACACCACCACCCTTATGGCAGAAAGTGAAGAAGAACTAAAAAGCCTCTTGATGAAAGTGAAGGAGGAGAGTGAAAAAGTTGGCTTAAAGCTCAACAGTCAGAAAACTAAGATCATGGCATCTGGTCCCATCATGTCATGGGAAATAGATGGGGAAACAGTGGAAACAGACTTTAATTTTTTGAGCTCCAAAATCACTGCAGATGGTGACTGCAGCCATGAAATTAAAAGACGCTTATTCTTTGGAAGTAAAGTTATAACCAACCTAGATAGCATATTTAAAAGCAGAGACATTACTTTGCCAACAAAGGTCTGTCCAGTCAAGGCTATGGTTTTTCCAGTAGTCACGTATGGATGTGAGAGTTGGACAGTGAAGAAAGCTGAGCACCGAAGAATTTATGCTTTTGAACTGTGGTGTTGGAGAAGACTCTTGAGAGTCCCCTGGACTGCAAGGAGATCCAACCAGTCCATCCTAAAGGAGATCAGTCCTGGGTGTTCATTGGAAGGACTGATGTTGAAGCTGAACTCCAATACTTTGGCCACCTCATGCGAAGAGCTGACTCATTGGAAAAGACCCTAATGCTGGGATGGATTGGGGGTAGGAGAAGAAGGGAACAACAGAGGATGAGATGGCTAGATGGCATCACTGACTCGACAGACATGGGTTTGGGTAGACTCTGGGAGTTGGTGATGGACATGGAGGTCTGGGGTGCTGCGATTCATGGGGTCGCAAAGAGTTGGACATGACTGAGCAACTGAACTGAACTTATGCACAATTTTGTGAATATACTTAAGAATTACTGAAATGTACACTTTAAAAGGTCAACTTCTCGTGTGTGAATTATATTCCAATAAAGCAGTTATTAAAAAACATTTAATCAGAGATACTCTATATAAGTGGGAGGTATATAGCATGTTTGGGACTTCCCAGTTAGTACTAGTGATAAAGAGCCCATCTGCCAATGCAGGCGATATAAGAGACATGGGTTCGATATCTGGGTTGGGAAGATCCCCTGGAGGAGGGCATGCCAACCCAGTCTAGTATTCTTGCTTGGAGATTTCCATGGACAAAGGAGTCTGGTGGGCTACAGTCTGTAGGGTCACAAAGAGTTGGACACAACTGAAGCAACTTAACAGGCACACACATACACACACAGGTAATATCATACTTAAAGGTGAAAGACTGGATGTTCACATACACATCATGCTCATGGGTTGAAATACTCAATTCTCCCTCAGTTGATCTATGGAGTCAATGTAATATCAACCCAATACCCCAGTGAAGCTTTTTGTGTGTGTGGAAAGTGACCAAGATGCACTAAAATACATATGACACGCAAAGGGTCAAGAGTTGCTGATACAAACCTGAATAAGGACAAGACTGGAAGACATAAACTATCAGATATAAAGACACAAAAGGAGCAAACCACCACTATTGATAAAGATTTTAAAACGGAATTTCTTGTCTTACAGTTTCAACTATAATACTACAAGTTGAAAAGTTATTCCACTGTCAATGCATTTTCAATCAAAAGCCTGAAGGAGAAAAGAGGTGAGAGGCAAAGTAAAAGATGAAGGGCCAAACAATCAGGAGTTATACAAGAGCTGTTCCTCTTGGGACTAAAGGGCAGATGGAAGGAGCTGAAAGAGGTCTTGTTTTTCAAATATGAGTAAGATGTCCGAAAGTACTATAACTCTTCAGGATACTCACTCATTAAAACTGCCCATGTATACACTGGTCTAGAGGGGCTCAAAATCACCAACTCTGGAGAACTTGTGAGAGAGAACTTTAGTGTCCATGTACACATTGGTCTAGAGGGGCTCAAAGTCACCAAGTCTGCAGAACTTGTGAGAAAGAACTTTAGTGGACGGTTTTTGAGGGGAATAACTGATTCGAGGGAACCACCAAACTGTAAGATGGAGCAAAATGATTTTCTTTCTAATTTTGCTAGTAAGTAGAATTAACTCTTCTTTTTAAGATTTTAAATCTTAATAAGATTATAAATAAGATCCCCAAAACATTAAAAAAAAAAAAGTGCTTTCTACTTCAGGTTTTTCACTGTTTACTGAGTACAAACCTGTTCCTTTTCTAGAAGATCTGCCTTTAGTCACTGGTGGCTTCTTCTTCACAGCCGGTGCCTGAAAAGTAGAATGTTCTCTCCACCTTCGAAGCTGAAAATTAATGAACTTCCACATCATGAAAGCTTGGGTAATACAAATGGATGCCAGAACAGCAATTCTGAGAATACAAAGAAACAAACAGAAAATTAACGTGCACCCAAGCAATGCCATTGAATAAAGTAGTCTCTTTTGCTTTGACAGTATTAGCTTAGCGCTAAATTCCCATTACATTGACAAGGATTATATTAATGAATAATTACCCCACTAATAATTAACCCCAGGTGGCTAAGTGATAAGGAATCCACCTGCCAATGAAGGAGATGCAAGAGACTCAGGTTCGATCCCTGGGTTGGGAAGATCCCTTGGAGGAGGGCATGGCAACTCACTCCAGTATTCTTGTCCGGAGAATGCCATGGACAGAGGAGCCTGGCTGCCTACAGTCCACAGGGTCACAAAGAGTTGGACATGACTAGAGTGACTGAGCACAATAATTAACCCCAGAAGTTAAACAAATGCTTTAGTGATTTTTTTTCAAACTTTAAACTTTTTATTTTTTATTGGGGTATAGCCGATTACAATGTTGTGGTAGTTTCAGGTGAACAGCAAAGGGACCCAGTCATACATATACACGTATCCACTCTCCCTCAAATCCTTCTCCCAATCCAGGCTGGCACAGAATATTGAGCAGAGTTCCCTGTGCTAGACAGTAGGTCCTTGTTGGTTATCCATTTAAAATACAGCAGAGTGTACATGTCCACCCCAACTCCCTAATTATACCCTCCCCCTAGTAACCATAAGTTCATTTTCTAAGTCTGTGAGTCTCTTTCTGTTTTGTTAGTTTATTTTTATCTAAATGCTTTAGTATTGATACTTTAATTTATACATGAAATTGCAATAGGTATGAAATAAAATCAAATGAGTATTTTCCCCTACCTCTCATAATTATACCTTTATATTTTAGACAATTCATATTTTAAATTGATAATACATACTACATTGTAGGGCAAGGTGAGAAGTGTTAAATCAACCCTACCTAACAGCCAAAACATTGAAGTTTCCAGTACTGAAATCCAGCTTCTGGTTCTCTGCTCTTGCCAGGCCAAAGCCAACAGTGAGTACCGAGAGAATTAAAGTCAGAAGTCTTCCCAAAACAAACAGAACTGCCCACAGAGAAAATCTGTGGGAAAATATGTCAAAGTCAAATTCACAAAATTGCAAAGATAAGATGCTAGTAGAAATCAGACTGCTGTTAAGTAACTGCATATTAAAACAGCCATTTCTTACAGTTCTGCAAAAAGGATTCTGAAATAAAATGCTAGGTAAATGCTTCATATTATATCACATTCTTGAAGATTGTATAACATATGAGAATATTTCAGGTTCTAGAAGTCCAGTTAAAGAAATATTTGATTTTTTTTTTTTCGTTTAGCTGATTTTCTGTGTATGTGTATGACAACTATTAATGATTCTCAGAACTATTGGTATATAGAACAATTTTGGAAAAGGCTGAATAAAAACAAAGGCCATGTATTCCATTCTCATGAAAGTCCTCGTTTCACTTTTTTTCTCCCCAAGGCTCTTTACAAGACATACTACATCAATGCTGTCCAAGTTTAATTTTCCCATCAAAATATTTTTGTATCTTTAAGGCTCTGTAATCTATTATTTCAATTTCTTCTGAAAGTTCACTTTTCCCCATTATTCCTTCTTCAAAAGAACAATGTGCACTAAACAAGATAGGAAAAGTTGTATCAGAAAAGTAAATCCTCAACCTTCAAAACTACAAGTTCCAATATACTATTTCTCAAGCTAAGAAAGACAATAGTCTTTAGAGAACAAAATACCAACTTCAATTGTTAAAAAGTGTCATTTTATTTAAAGTAGCTTATAAAGCAACATAATTGCCCATAGCATGGACCCTGGCAATAGCACAGACCTTTGCAACATAGGCACTGACTTTAATTACACAAGAAACAGAATGGTTGAAAGACTCACCCTTTCTGATACTTTTCATCACTAAAGTAAAACAGGCGGGAAATGTGGAAAAGAAACTCAACAAAATAGTGTAGCACCAAAAGCACAAGTCCTAGATGATTCAAGCTGTTAAAAGAACACATTTAAAATGAAAAGATTAATTACAAATTAAGACAGAGTAGCATACTATCTGCCCAGTCCATAAACACACCCAAGAAAAATCCCAACTCACTTTAAAAGATACGCTCCAGCAATGTGAAAGAGGTAAAGGCCAATGTATACAAGCTGACGAGGAATATCTTCCTGTAAACAGAAAATGGCACAACGGGTTAACACTGGGGGAAGTAGTTCTGTTTGGAGAAGCGGTGTGAAAATGCAGTCACAGGAGACCTGAAGGCCACTCTGCCTGGCACCCACTCCAAGTGCGCACCCCAACTGGCCACAGTCCTTTACCCTCTCTTGGCTTCATCTATTCATGTGGAAATGTGAATAACACCTGGGTTTGCTTGAATCAGATGAACTCTAAATCCCTTTTAGTACTGAGTGGTTCTTTTTATAATAAATAATATTAAATGACACAATCTTAATAACCATAATGTCCTTCTAATATTAAAACCGCTATGTTTATACCAGCAGAGATTCTTTTGTTTATCCAAATAGCATTCACGTTTTTTAGTCCCTTTCATTTCACTGTTAGTCAAGTCATTAAAACCAAAGGTTAAAATTTATCTTCTCACTTAGGACACCATCTACTTGTATATTCTTTTTCCTCTTAATAACCCTGTAAGTCAGGTATTCAGATTTCACTTTTGCTTTTCTTTCCCTGCCAACCCCATAGTTCTTAGTGACTTGGTTATCTTAGAAATAGTGGTTTTCAAAGATATTTAAGTCAAGTGACTCATAAAATTAATTTGGGGGTCACCCTAACATCTTTTGAAATATGAAATATAATTTAAAAAATGCTAGTGTACAACACATTGTATTGTTTCATGAAAGTTTTATTCCAGATTTTACACACACCTGTACACACACAGAATTACAATGTAAACTCTACAGTTTTTCACCCTAGGTTACAGTAAAAAAATGTTTGCAAAAAATGAACAGCAGGTCCTACAAACACTTGTTAATTTAGGAAATACCTATACTGCTCATTTCTACTCTGTTTTGGCAGTTTACCACATATATGGTTCTACTAGCCTGGCTAGTCCTATTCATGTACTGCAGCTCTAATTAAAATGATTACAATATGGTTGATGTCAGCAAACTGAGCACCATTTGCCTGGAATCTCACTAGACTTGTCTCTAGCATACAGGAGAGCTGAATGCAGATCTCTTCTCTTTCAGTCCCTACAATTCAAGTACAGTTACTTCACCAAATCTTCCGAGAAAGAGTAGAGAGTTTGTAAGTGTAGTTTTGAAACTGAAAAGTCTTTTCCAGTAAGAATGGTACAAAGATCAAGTGTTAGAGAACATACGACAGTTGAACAGAACTATATAGAGTCTTCTATATAGTTCTCTTGGAGAAAATTCCCAAGACACAATACTAAGTGTACAGTGGAGCTTCCAACAGCAGAGAACTAAGGCTGGCTGACAATTTTCTCCACATAATTCTCAAACTTCCAATGAAATATTTCTCCTTACTAAAGGAGTGAGAGAAAAAGGTGTGATAACATGGCAAAGTTCAACCACAAGGAAGTCTTTACTCTCTTAAAATCATTTCAGACCAGCTCAGCTATAGTGTTATAATTGCAATTTGACATCCCATGGAAACAGAGGTGTCACTAAATACATGGTACTTGTATTTCTGAAAGTGTGGTGTGTATATCATTGGCACTGTACAAAATGATTTTAGATAGTATACAACAAAACACTTTACCTTTCACGATAATTTTATTTTTCATTTTATTGTTTCTAAATATATTTTTTTTTAATGTGGACCATTTAAAAATTCTTTACTGAGTTTCAATACTGCTTCTTTTTCATGTTTTGGTTTTCAGCTGCAAGGCATGCGGCTTCCCAACCAGGGATCAAACCTGCACCCTCTCCATTGGAAGTCTTAATAACCACTGGACTGCCAGGGAAGTTCCTCACTATAATATTAAATACATTTTAAGTTGCAGCGAGGTGGCATGTAAGTGACTACGTATAAGAAACAATGCCATATTCCTTCAGATGTGCTACACAATGTTCCAGATTTCTGAGGGGAAAACAACACCAAGAGGACCCTTGATACTTAAAGAAGAAACACAAATCGGTTTTAAAAATACACTATTTAGCAGAGAACATAAGCTGCCTATCTTTTTTCCTGTTAGACAAATCTAAAAACACTACTATAAATTACAAACATACTATATTTTAAAAAGTCATTCCATTTCTTTTTTCTCCTTAAATCTCAACCTAATTATGTGAGGCAAGGTTTCGCTTGCTCTTAGGTAAAGAAAAGCCCAGAGCTTCTTCCCTAAATTCAAGTTCAACTTTGCATCTCAGCTCTGCCTTTCTGATAGCAACTGAGTCAATCATGGTGAGTAAAATACCACCAAAGGTCCCATTGCCACAACTGTCAAATCCTTAGCAAGAGCTTTTCCAAAAGGACAGAATACCAAGAAATCTTTTTCTAAGTAATAGAAACTAGAGCCTTCTACAAACTGGTCAGTGTCTCTAAAGCAATGTTTGCAAATTTAAAGCTGAACCAGAGAAAAGTGTCAAAATAAATGAGCGACAGGGAGGGGTCTACTGCAAGGAGTGGTGGAGAGTGCAGGTTAAAGGTGTTTCCCTATTAACAATAATAAGGTGACAGGTGTGATGTAGCATGATTTTTAAAATGAGACCAGACTTCCTCTGACGTTCTTCAATTCTCATAGGGTTACAGCCCTTCTGGGGCTTTACATGCCTGTGGCCAACAATAAAGAGCTCACCCAGCACCATGGTCTCTGGGGCCTACATGCTTCCCTGGGGTGTGGGGATCAGTGAGAAAAGAGAAGGCTGGGTGAAAAGATCAGTGAGAAAAGATGTCAGCACTCTTAGAGGCAGTTCACGGTATCAGTTAACTGGCCACATCACAGATTTCAATTAGGCAGTTAGCACGCCATCAAAGGGTGGCTCATAACTGTTCTAGAATCTAGAGTCTAGATGAATGCAAATGTGGATGAGAAAAAGCTATTTTGGTTTTCCAAGACTCACCACCCTATGATTTTGTTATGTAAATAAACTCTTTTTACCAGAAGTCAGAAATGAGGTTTTGTTTATTTACAAACTTTCTTAAACCTGAATGGAAAAAATATGTAATGAAATGAGCAGTTGCCAAGTACTTATATATCCTTAATGCTAACATTCAAGTAGTTTATATTATATAAAGACAAAATCATAGACTAATGACTTAAAATTCTGATAAGTCTCCTTTTTCATGGAATACCTAATAAACACAGTACACTTAAATCGAAACAAATGCTAAAATTATAAATAACTTCAGGTGACATTTTTGGTTGTTATTCCAACATCTTTTATTTACCAGGTCAGCTGTATACTTTAGTAAATTTCTATTTTTATAAGGAAATATTTTTCTTAACTACACAGTACTAAAATATGAACTTTACTTTAAACTGAATATCACATATATGCCCAAATATAAGGCAAAGATTTTCCCCTAAACCAAAAATGTAGTCATCTCATATGTAAATTTTTTCAAAGCTCTCATACTACAGAGATCTGTATTGATTATTTTGAACAACAAATAAATGGGTTAAGATACATAACCTGAGAAAACTCAACCAATGTCATTTCTAAATGCTTACACAAGGTTAGTGGAGGAATCAATAAGACAGAGTAACGATGTACTCTGGAAAAACTGATTTAAATGAGTCAAGGAAGCTCCAGTGATGAAGGACAGATATTAACAACAAGTTGCACATGAAAAGTGTGAATTTAACCCTCAGGGAGGAGTGGGCAAAAAGCTTTTTAAAAATTTAATATACTTTATATCATATACAACTGTATGTATGGATAATTAAACCAAATAATCTGAATATCAGAAATAAAACATTTGGATATTCCATCCACACTTCCCTGAAACTTCTTATATTCAAGATGGCTAAGAAATTACATTTTGAATCCTCTTATGGACAAAAGAGAGGTCTGTTTATACTGAAACATACATATTACATACATTTAAAATATCCTTCTTAAAACAAACTGAGTTATTTGTAACCACTACACCTCTTGAATTGCTACTGTGTTCCTTTTTCCATTTCTCTGTAGGACTGGGTCAAAACAACCACTGTTCTAATTTTTTTCCAGTGAAGAGTTCTTCCAAAAATAATTCTTATAGAGTAAATTTTAAGAAACCGTTGAACACATATGCAGCTGTTACTTTCAAATTATGTTAATTACTTGCAACAGTTACTTTCGACTGTCATATGTAGGTGTTAAAAATAGTTTCAGTTAAGTTCTAAGTTATGCAAATTATTCCACAAAAATTAGATTGCATTTTTGGAGAAATGCCATCTGGCAGGAATTGATAAGAAAAGAGCTTTGAGAACTAAAATGAACAATTACTTTGAAATGTCCCTCTCTACTTACATGGTCAATGAACAATATATAGACATATGAACTCATAATGAAACCCAGAGGTAAAACATCCATAGGTACAAAAGTACATGAAGATCTAAACATCTGAACCACGGTACTAAGATATCAAGGACTATGACGGTCTCAGCAGTGCTCCACAGAACCTTCTGCAATGAGGGCTAGGTTCTCTGTTTCTGATCCAAAATGGCAGACTGTGAAACCATGTGTGCCAACGAGCATTTGCGACATGGCTAGTGTGACCAAGAAAGAGAATTCTGTTTTTGTTTAATTAAGTTAAATGTGTCTTATGGCTACTGTTTCGGACACTGCAGCTATGGGACATGTATGGTTCACATTAGGTAATCACTAAATATGGAAGGGTTATTGTATTGGAAGTGGTGTGCCTAAAAATTTTATCTTAAGACAGTTCTAAGTCAAAGGTTTTATGGATCTTCATCCTAATCCTTATAATCAACTTAACTAGAAAACCATTCTACTTTACATGGACTCTAATTTGGTGCTATTCTCTAATCATCGCAGACATCAATGATGACTGACACCCATGACACAAAAACCACAGACACAACACAGCAATGAAATCAAGCACTTATACTCATGAATTAACTACTCAGAGTACACACAGAAAGAAGCGCTTGTGGCTTTTAAGAAGGCAGAGATAAAATGGTCACTGGATGGGTGGTTACATTTCTGTTTTGGAAAAGCTTCTCAAAGTAAGGGGATTTTAAAACCAGTGTTTTAAATGTGGAAAAATGTAAAATACACAGAACCCACAGAGAGCATAATGAATCCTCATGTACCTGTCTCCCAACTATGGCTGTTAACTCATGACTTTCTTTTTATCCATCACCCGCACCCCCCCACCCACATGTCAGTTCATATACAGGGATTTTAAAAACAATCTCTCCCCAAAGGAGAATAAAAGTGCTTGATTAATTTATTAGAAAAGGTATCCCGGAGAAAAGAACTATGTGCTGGGATTACAAATTAGAGAATGTTGAAACTGAATGAGGTACAAAAAGGGAAGAAAAAGGGACCAGGGGACAGGGGCACAGATGGGAAGAACCCTTGGAACATAGTGAGCAGCTTGATTCTAATTTAGAGCAAAAAGGACCTAGCACAGTTTTTGGAAGAGAAAGAGTTAACTCAAGGAAACAAAGTTCACTCTGTGACACCGGGTAAGACTGACTTCAGAGGCTCCGACAGAAAACCACAAGGGGCTACTGCAGTGCTCCAGGAGCCGAGCTACTGCTCAAACAAGGCAGACCAACACCTTTGCTACCTATTTCCCTGGGGAAAGAGCCAAGGTGAATATGTAACTCTGGTTTACTTCTCTCAGTATTCAACTTTTCTCTGGGACTTATACACAGTACCATTAGCTGCAGAATAGTCTAATTACTCCATTTGGTCTCACTTGTGAAACTGCTAAGAGTTTGAATATTACATTGCAAGATTTGTTTAAATTTTATTTTAAATTACCACTAGTACAATTTTAAAATGAGAAATTAGCATGTCAAATGTAAGATCTCCCCCTCTTAAGTTGAAATGAATCAAAGTTTCTGCAATAAATACTTAAAGACATTTAGTCTGTGTGGAAAAAGGGGAGGTGAGAGGATAGTGGGGGGATGGAAGAGGGGAAAGGGAGGCTAGAGATGTGAGGAAATATTTAATTTTAAAACTGCTTCTCAAAAAAAGGCAAAAATGACAACAAAAATCTAAAAATTACAAAACCCCTGCTTACTTTTTTGGTTTTCTGGAAGTAGAGTTCAGGAAAAGCATGAAACCAGTATGCCAACTGTGATATGTAGAAAAACTTCATCTGAAATCTGTGTAACACAAGAAAGTAGAACATATCGTTTAAAGCACAACATCTTTGAAGAATAAAGTAAAAACAAACACTGGAAATCAGGACGTGCTAAGTAGCTACCTTTGTGTTACCATTTCAGGTCCCCTTACAACACTTCTTGTACTTTACTCGGCAGTAGCCCCCCTTCCCCAGCCCCCCAGGGTCTCCCCACCATCAGTCAGTTCCTCTGGACTAAACAGCGAAGCAAAGACATGATCCACAGAACCCTGGGAGCAACCAAGCAAGCTACCAGGAAACAGAGCCCTTGCCTGTGAGTGAATTAGTGCTGATAAGTGTGCCTGTTAGCCACTGAAAATGTGTGGAACATGTCTCTGAGGGAATCAAATCACACCTCTGTAAGGGTTCCACAAAAGGGAAGTGGGAAGGGCAAAAAGATGGCGAGGAAGTGAAGGTGCACAAATTCACCAGCGCTGGAAACTGAGACAATCCCAATTTCAAACAACCTCTGGAGTTTTCCTTAGGGAAACATGGTAACTCTACCTGGCTGAGACACTTGAGAGCACCCAATAAATGGAAGCAAACTTGGATTCAAGAGAGGAATAAGGCACTGCAGGGCTCCCAGGAGACATTTCTCATCAGTCTACAGTCCACAGTCTCTTCACACCACACCCCTCTAGACCTCCTCTTTCTGCTTCCTGCCACCGCCGCCCCCCCCACCCCCGCCCCCGCCCCGAGGTCTAAAGTGGAAAACACAAAGCCTATCTGAATAATTCTGTAGGGAGAGAGGGGAAGGGGGACAGGGAAGGGGAGAAAATACAGTCCCACATAAATATGATGTTTATATCCCCATTCTACAAAAGTGCATTGAATTAATACACTTATTAAAAGTTAGAATGGCTCAGCAGAATATGGTAAAACTGTAGGTCATGTTGCTGCTGCTGCTGCTAAGTCACTTCAGTCGTGTCTGACTCTGTGCAACCCCATAGACGGCAGCCCACCAGGCTCCCCCGTCCCTGGGATTCTCCAGGCAAGAACACTGGAGTGGGTTGCCATTTCCTTCTCCAATGCATGAAAGTGAAAAGTGAAAGTGAAGACGCTCAGTCGTGTCCGACTCTTAGAGACCTCATGGACTGCAGCCCACCAGGCTCCTCCATCCATGGGATTTTCCAGGCAAGAGTACTGGAGTGGGGTGCCACTGCCTTCTCCGGTAGGTCATGTTACTCTCTTTGTATCTTTTTCTCCAATTCTCCCATCACAATGCAGCCACTGACTACTGCCTAGGTGATAAGCCCCTATGGCTGGCACAGCAAAGGATATGAAAAGAGACAGCTCCTTCTGCTGTCAAGTACATACAATCTTGGTGGGCATGGGCACAACATAAGACTGACTTACATAAACGAGACAATTACAGAGCAGCCAAGACCATGTATAAACATAAAATACTGCACAACAAAATGAAAAGTTCAGGAAAGCAGAAGCCCACATAGGCTAAAGGAGCAAGGAAAATATGGAATAGATGTTTTAGAACTGGGCTTGAAGAATGAATAACTTAGCTAGCTGACTTGGCGACCGCTGAGCTTCTTATAGCACTGTCAGAAACCTTGGGGGCCAAAAAAGTGAAACAGTCTCTATCCTCAAGCTTACAGTGTAAGAGAGAAGGAATGGAAGAAAAGAGACTAGGGTAAAGAAAAGGAGCAAAAGTATGTAGAAGACGGAGCAGGGATGAGGGAAAAGAAGAAGACAGAGGACTAAATTAGGATTACTATTAAGACCAGTTTTCTTAAGGTAACAGACACAGTGAAGACTATACACATAATAAAAGCACAAAGGAATTTTTTGTTCTCATGGCAGCGTGACTGCCAAAGACATACCTATCGTACGAATTTGCCTCAGGTCTTAAAAGAGAATAACAAGTCCTGCTTAAAAGTGACATGACCATGGCCCTTCAGTGAGAAGTCTACTAAAAATGACTTACGTCATCAGGTTATGGGGATAAGCCCTCCACAAGATAGTCGGGTCTGAGATGTAGTTTTCCTAAGAGAGAAGATACAATAATTAGCCTAATAAGCATGTAAATTCCTTAGAAAATAAGACAGTATTTTCATTTCTTGCACATTTACAACTCTCCATCTCAAGTTCCAAAGGGTCCACGGAAGTCAAACATTTTAGATGTTTTAGTTATTTTTCATTCAGTCGAACCGCTTACTTTAGTGAAGTGAAAATCAATGAGTGATGTGAGGTCCAAAAAGACGTAATTCCTGGCTTTTGAAATTCTTTCGATCCAGGAGAGTAAAAAAGACACATATACAAACACAACCCAAAATCAGTAATGGCACATAACAGTCATCCAAGGAATGAATTTTGTTTCAGGTTATCAAAGAAAGAGTTCCAAAAGAGGGGGCACCTGACAGGAGACAGAGGATCAAGGTGGTGCTAAGTTTTATAAGATTATGTCCACATAAGGAGAAGGAAATGGCAGCCCACTCCAGCATTCTTGCCTGGAGAATACCATGGACGGAGGTGCCTAGCGGGCTGCAGTCCATGGGGTCACAAAGAGTCAGACATGACTGAAGTGACTCAGCATGCATACATGTCCACATAATAACCATGTCTTTTTCTTAGATAACCCGATCTGTTTAGTGAGAATTATCACATATGTATATACAGAAAAAAATGAAGCAACTTATCCTTATTATCTATTGAGGTTTAACACATTTGTTTTTTTTAAACTGTGTAAGACAGAATTTGTATACATCAATAATAATAAAAAATTTCTGAGTATATAAGATTTTAAGCTGAATTTTATGTTCATCTATAATCACTAAAGCAGCAGTTTACAATGGAACAAGCACTGGACTTGAAAAGCTGAGTTTTAGTCTGTCTCCAACTGTGTCATACCCTGGAAAATTCACTTGGCCTATTTATTCATCTCTAGTATACATGCAACCTTGTGAAATTATCACTGATAACTTACTCTTTCTGCTAATACAGAGCCACTTGCAAATGACTACAAGATATATAGACAACATTCAGATCGACTAAAACTGAGTAAGGCTTTCTGGAATACTGAACATAGTTGGCAATTTTTGCTGTATAAAAACTCAAAGAGAGGCTTACTGATGAAACTTGATTTATACTAGTTCAATAGCAGAACTCCTAATCTTAGATAAGAACAACAGAAGAGGAATTTTTCTAAGGTTCGGGGTTTGCTTATGAGTGCTAAAAATAGGACATCATTTCCTGTTCTGAGTATGTAATTAAATACTCTGAGAGATGAGAATTTAAGCATAGTACATACTTACAGATACGAGAATGAATGTGCCCCAAATACAAGAAAACAGGTAGAATGCACTAAGCTGACCAGATTCATTAAACTTGCTGTGTTTCGTTTTGGAGAAATGCATTCGCCTGTTAATTTTCTAAAAATAAAAACAATTGTAAATTTAAGATTATAAAAACGTATTTAATGTAACTATCATGGTATGGAGAGCTAGTATTTTATAAAGTATACATTTCTAAGATTGTATACTTACATCCAACACATATTCTTGAATTATGGCATGAATAATTATCGCCACTAGCATGTAGAAGAAAACTGTAGCCAAATCTTTGATACCATAGTAATAAAGGAACGCTGATTCAGTAGCTTGTTCTTCTGAAGGTCAAAAGGACAGGACACACACACACACAAAAATATGCATAAGATTATAAAAACAGCACTGAGTACAATACAGTTACGGAAACAAAAGAAGACTAATCTAATAAATAAGTTTCCAGAAACATCACGGTAATATGCTGGTGGACACCTCAAGTCTTAGCAGCAATGAAAACTGAGATTACCTGGAAGTCTAAAGTTTCAGAAATTACTTACAAAGACTTGACACAGGTCAGTTACAGCCATTAAAGTCAGAGCACAGTGGGGCGGAGGCCACACTCAGACCCCCGGAGCTTCCAGGGGTAGAGCAGGTTATATTTCAGTTCTATTAAAGGGAGTTACACTTATCCCATTTGCCTGTGTTTTCAAGGAACTTTTGAAACTTTCAACTTTCTAGCTCTATTTTTCAAACTAGATACCATATTTATGATTCTGATGGAAAAGCTGACTTTGATTTGATTTAGTTTTGAACTCTAAGCAGGGAGACAGAAGCAACTGCTACAATTGTTTTCAGTCTTTAAAACTGCTAATTTTCCAGAACAAGACTTAAGCAAATACTTGTGAGTTGATAAAAGAGCTTTGTTCTTCTCTGGCATACTCAAATTTCTAAACAACTTTGTGGTTTTGAGTAATCTGATATCTAAATTACTAAACCAAATATTTACAAAATGATAAAACTGAACAAAAACCCAACTCCATGTTGTGTAATTTATCTTACATTCTAAAGAGAGAGACTGGGGACAAATTTACTGCCTGAATATGTTATCTGGTTAAGTGAATACCCCATCCCTTATCCATGCTAATAAGTTAATTACTATATTCAACTATAATCAACTTTAAATAACTACTTGATTCTCACGCAGCATAATCTAGAAAAAAAAAATTTAAATAAAACCTAAAAATGTAGTTTGGATGCTATTTCCAAGATATCTCTTAGAGCATACTGTCATTCTCTCATCAAAACAACTGATAGATGGTAGAGCAGAACCAAAAAGTAACAATAAAATGGGCTTAAGAGGGATGTTATTACAGTTCCCAAGCAGAACTCATAGGTCAAAACAACTGAACCTGAACACTGGGCCTTTAGAAACCTTGACGGAACAATGACACTTCAGAAAATGCAAAATATCTATTCTTAGGATTTTCTTATGAAAAGATCAGAGGGAAGAGAAGGACAAAAAAAAAAAAAAAAAACCCACAAAAACCTTGTTCTTCGATGGAATTTCAAGCCCACTTACAAAAGTACACAGTAAACATTAAACACATAAAAACTGATTTTCATACAGGGTGAAGTCAACCCAAAACATCAGATCTTGTATTATTACAAAATCATCAAGAATAATATTCATTCTCATCATGAATGAGATCTGTGAAGAAGAAGAAGAACCTAGTGTTCACAGAAATTTCCAAGTCTGCCCAGCTGAACTCTTCTACTTAACCAGGAAATTCCAAAAGAAAACTACCTACCTGTGGCAGGGAGGGTAACATTATACTGAAGAGTAACAAAAATGATAGAAACTTTTGCCGTTATCTGGAAAGAAAAAAAAGATCAGGTCAATTAGTGACGCTCTCCCAAACAGCAACTCTGGGGGAAAAAACATTCAAGTTCTCTCCCTACATCTGAGAACCAAGGCCCCCCCACCCCCCCACTCCAGTTCTGTGTCACCCAGACAGGCACAACTGGGATTCCCCCTCGCCAAGGAGTTGAAGTTAAGGTAATTCACCAGAGCAGTCTGCAATTTAGGTGGGATTGTGCAATTCACTCCTAACTTTAAGATTTCAAAAAAGAGAACCGCAGTTCCAGTAAACAGTGTTTTTGATAAATAATGTTTCTCTCTCTAGACCTGTACAATGAACACAAAATTGCCATCAAGAAAATCTTTAAATGTAAGTTAATGAAAGAAAAGGGAGCACCGTTACCAGGACGAAAACGGACCGAAGGCAGGTTCTGTGGTGTGTGTGTTAATCTCCCGCACACCTGGCATAGGTACGTGGTCAACAATATTTAACTGACCTGCCGACTGGTACAAGCAAAGTGCTCACAACAGGAAAACGGAACGCTTACTCAGTATTTACAGGCACAAACACTGTACCAGACAAGAAAGGATAACAAAGATGATGGTGTGATCCAGATGACGAGAAACTTATCTGGGTTTTGGAAGAACCAAATGGCTGTAATACCAAAGAATCAGAGCTAACAGGAACTGAGGAGAAACAATGCATTTTTTCTGTTGTTTTTGATTTCTTCCTGGGGTGAGGAGTGAGGTTTTTGTTTTCTTCCTGAGGTGAGGAGAGGCTCTGCAAGGAGATGTGGTGCCTGAGCGGCTCCTGCTGGCAAAGAAAAGTTCCCTCGCAGGGGAGGGGAGGACAGCCCAGGCAGGAAAAAGGGAAGCGCAAAGGTCAAGGAGCTGGAACCAGGAGGTCAGGCATAGCAGGTGGACGTGAGGGAGGGCCTATGTGCTGATCTAAGTAGTGCAGACTTTATTGTAGCCTGACCAGACAATGTGAGGAGGGAGTTACTGGTGTTTAGAGAGACGGCTGACTGTGGCCCAGCGCTGGCCCCCCAAGTCACCCTCAGATCCACACTCCAGCTGGCAACTGGAACCTGCCCTCCATCAGGTGAACACACTCCCCAGGCCCGCCCACCCTTCCTCCACCACCTCTGGAGGTCCTCCAGTTGAGTCCCATTCTTTCCAGGATGAGGACTCCAGGGTCTGGCCCTGCCTCTTGCATTCCTCCCACCCAGAGCTCTGTGTGCATGTGATTTTATCGGAAAACCTCTCCACTCGGGATCTCATGTCAACTACACCCTTTCAAGGAAGCCTTCCCTGCCTCTTAGAATAGGTCATTTCCTTTGTTAGACTGCCTCAGAGACCTGGGTTCCATTCTTACAAAATGCACACTCTCGGCGTGCTGATATTCATAACTGCTGTTACCCAATACAGTAACCTCCGTAAAAGCTGGGACCACACTGGTTTCTGTTCACCACTAGACGCTCAGAGTCCGGCAGGGCGTGTGGCATTTATTCAGTGATTGATCAACATTACTAAATAAATATCAGACAAAAAATAAATTGGAGTAAGGAGGCAAGTCAAGTATGAGAGAAACCCCGTGAAAGCTAATACAGCTTGAACTAAGGCAGCAGTGGTAGAACAGAAGTGGAACCTTGGAGGCAGAATAAGGCTAGTGGAGACGATGGAATTCCCACTGAGCTGTTTCAAATCCTAGAAGATTTGATGATGCTGTGAACGTGCTGCACGCAATATGCCAGCAAATTTGGAAAACTCAGCAGTGGCCACAGGACTGGAAAAGGTCAGTTTTCATTCCAATCCCAAAGAAAGGCAAGGCCAAAGAATGCTCCAACTACCCCACAATTGCACTCATCTCACACGCTAGTAAAGTAATGCTCAAATTTCCCTAAGCCAGGCTTCAGCAATATGTGAACCATGAATTTTCAGATGTTCAAACTGGTTTTAGAAAAGGCAGAGGAACCAGAGCTCAAATTGCCAGCATCCAATGGATCATCAAAAAAGCAAGAGAGTTCCAGAAAAGCATCTATTTCTGCTTTATGGACTAGGCCAAAGCCTGACTGTATGGATCACAATAAACTGGAAAATTCTGAAAGAGATGGGAATACCAGACCACCTGACCTGCCTCTTGAGAAACCTATATGCAGGTCAGGCAGCAACAGTTAGAATGGGACATGGAACAATAGACTGGTTCCAAATAGGAAAAAGAGTACGTCAAGGCTGTATATTGTCACCCTGCTTATTTAACTTATATACAGAGTACATCCTGAGAAATGCTGGGCTGGATGAAGCACAAGCTGGAATCACGACTGCCGGGAGAAATATCAATAGCCTCAGATATGCAGATGACACCACCCTTATGGCAGAAAGTGAAGAAGAACTAGAGTCTCTTGATGAAAGTGAAAGAGAAGAGCGAAAAAGTTGGCTTAAAGCTCAACATTCAGAAAACAAAGATCATGGCATCCGGTCTGGTCACTTCATGGCAAATAGATGGGGAAACAGTGGAAACAGTGGCTGACTTTATTTTGGGGGGCTCCAAAATCACTGTGGATGGTTACTTCAGCCATGAAATTAAATTACTCCTTGGAAGGAAAGTTATGACTAACCTAGACAGCATATTAAAAAGCAGAGACATTACTTTGCCAACAAAGGTCCATCTAGCCAAGGCTATGGTTTTTCCAGTAGTCACGTATATGATTTGAGAGCTGGACTATAAAGAAAGCTGAGCGCTGAAGAATTGATGCTTTTGAACTGTGGTGTTGGAGAAGACTCTTGAGATTCCCTTCGACTATAAGGAGATCCAACCAGTCCATCCTAAAGGAGATCAGTCCTGGGTATTCATTGGAAGGACTGATGTTGAAGCTGAAACTCCAATACTTTGGCCACCTGATGCGAAGAGCTGACTCATTTGAAAAGACCCTGATGCTGGGAAAGATTGAGGGCAGGAGGAGAAGGGGATGACAGAGGATGAGATGGTCGGATGGCATCACCAACTCAATGGACATGGGTTTGGGTGGACTCCAGGAGTTAGTGATGGACAGGGAGGCCTGGCGTGCTGTGGTTCATGGGGTCGCAGAGAGATGGCCATGACTGAGTGACTGAACTGACTGACTGACTGAAGGCTTGTTATGCAGGAGGGAAGAATCAGAGATCATGTACTGATGCTTCAACAAGTAGGTGAAAAACAATACTATTAATAAAAATGGGGAATACAGGAGGATCAACAGGTTTTAGGGAAAGAGGAGTTTTCAGTAAACTTAGACTTCTTTGAGACATGCAGGTGGAAAGACCAACAGGCAGGTGAGGATCACTCCTGGAGCTCTGCAGGGAGGGCCAGGCTAAAGGATTTTTGGAAGTCTCTCTTTACAGAGAATAGATGGTACACAGTGGAGGCTGTGGAAATATGTAAGTCCTCTGTAGAGAGTGTACAGGCTTTAATGAGAAGCAGGACAAATCAGAACCATGGAGAGGGCAGAGAAAAGCTGGTGGGGAAATAACAAGAAATGATCAGAGAGGAACAGCAGAGAATGAAGAGAGTGGACACCCCAAAACCCAGAGGGGAAACATTTCAGGATGGTGTGGACAATAAAGCCAAAGCTTCAATAGAGACATGTTAGGAAAAGAGTACAGTGGAGTGGACGATTTAAGACATCAGTGGTCACAGCGTTTTGAGTGATTCCAACAGAGCGCGCGAGGCACATGACAGTGTGCGGACAGCCCAAAAGGAACGAACACAGGGGTTCCCGGTGAGAGGTCCCAGGTCAGGCTTAAGTTGTTTCATGACGGGAGGGACTGAGCTGGTAAGAGAGGCCGGTCAGGAAAGGAGCTAGGGAGAATTTAACATGTAGGGCATAATGGACAGAAAGATCTGGTAGGGAATGAATCACAAGGATAGCTGCTGCTGTTCAATCATTAAGTCATAAGCGACTCTACAACCCCATGGACTGCAGCATGCCAGGCTTCCTTGTCCTTCACTTATCTCCTGGAGTTTGCTCAGACTCTTGTCCGTTGAGTCAGCGATCCCATCCCATGATCTCATCCTCTGTTGTCCCCTTCTCCTCTTTCCCTCAATCGTTCCCAGCATCAGGGTCTTTTCCAGTGAGTGGGCTCTTTGCATCAGGTGGCCAAAGTACTTCAGCTAAAGGTTAATCTTAAACTGTTTTCCTCTTATACTAAGTAGAAGGTAAAAATGATGGGACAGATAAATTCAAAAGACAAGAAACTGAAGAAATTCTCCATGGCATGGAGGGGAAGCAATGTTATCTGTTAAGCACAGCTGGGGAATCCAATGATGAGTATTTTTAAAGTTCCTTTAGGGAAAGGAGCTGGCCAGGGAGAAGTAAAAAGATCCCTGGGTATTACTTTTGTCTGAGGTCAGAAACCTTTGACTTGTAATATTATCTAGCAGCCTGAGTCCACAACTTTCTCTGACAACCCTGAGCAATCCACAAATGGGGAGGCAGTGAAAAGGCAGTGCCAGGGGGAACCACAGCTGGATACGTATAGGCCAAACAGGGAGAAAGACCAACAGGGAAAGGGAGCCGAGGGCCTGGGGAGTGTGTGGACAGTGAAGCCTGCAGGGAGAAAAGCAAGGCAACGGGAGGCCACTACACTGCAGAAAAGGAAAGGGAACCAGGCCCCACCAAAGCCTGGACTAGATGGGAGACCCAGCAGGTGAGCGGCAGAGGTGGGGAGAGGCACAGCATGGCGGGTGGAGCGGGGCTCTGCCATCCTAGAGTACTGCAGGCCTGTGAGAGGAAGTCAGGGTAAGGCCCCTCCAGCGAGCTGCCCTGCTGGGTAGATACAGTAAGCCACTTGACTAGAAGAGGCCAGTAAGGCTTTTCTGTATTACATTCTGGGTCATTCCCACGGATACATTACAGCAGAGTGATGACATGTGTTTCCAGGGTAACACTGCTTTTCTGCAATTCTTTTAAATAAAGCTGACTGATGACTAAATTTTATGCTTTAATATCTTGTTTAGATTTCATATACAAACACACAAACACACTTTGTATCCCTGTTTCTAGTTTCAAATATGAAGTCACCACTACCGTAGCTGAAAAAACTTCTAAGTTTTTTTTTTTAAACAAATGACAAGGGAAATTCTTCAAAGATAAATTTAATATCAAATTCCCAAAGCAACAAAAATTAGATTATCCTTTCATGCTAGGCTTCCAAATAAAATTAAAATCTGGCTTCCAGCTAGCTTAGCATGTGACAGTATGTAGAATAAGAAGAAAAATACAAACCACACACCCTACAAAAGTTTATAGGAAATTTTTTTTAAAGAGAAGAAAAATTAAACCAATAATCATGCCCTTAGCCATTTCCAGGCCTCCTAAGTGTCACATCCCAGGCAACACTGTTTTCGTTAAACTAATATTACAGTTAATCAACAGGAAGACAAATTAGTTTGGAATAAAATATGCTACAGAAATACATGGGCTTCCCAGGTGGTGCAGTGGTCAAGAATCCTCCTGTCAATGCATAAGATACAAGAGACAGGGGTTCAATCCTTGGGTCGGGAAGATCCCCTGGAGGAGGAAATGGCAGATGGCTCCAGTATTCTTGTCTGGAAAACCCCATGGACAGAGGAGCCTGGAGGACGATAGTCCACGGGGTCACAAAGAGTCGGACACACTAAGCATGCACACACAAGAAATATATAATGTGTTCAAAAGGAAAACTGACTGAATTTATGACAATTTGGGACACTCGAAGCACTGCTCTCCATTTATAAGAAAAATATGAGACTTATTCAGATATATCTTAAATAGGTTACCATGACACTTAATGAATTATTTAACTCCGCACTGATTACAATTACCATGAATATCATAGTATTTCTTTCACGGTCACTAGTTGGGGCTTGGTAGCTTGTCACACAGAAATGTTAACTACGTTGTACTTGCTAGAGGAAGGAGTGACTACTACATGGACTGGATGTCTTAAAGATAAAGGCAGTTTCTGAATATCAAATCTTATTTTCTCACTGACATATAAAATTAAGTTCTTAAAAAAAAGAAGGAAAGAAAACGGTGGCATTAAGACAAGCCACACTTAGAAATAAAACAAACCTCCAAGTCTGTTCCACAATACTTGCAATTGTAAAGGTCCCCCTAACCTGGCATGGCATGAACAACCTGGACTCCTGAGTATGTGAAAAGTTAAGTCCTTTCCAGTATATCTTCCTCGTGGAGACTCCTAACTCCTCTTCTGCATCCTTGCTTTTGGAAAGCTTCTCAAGTATCCTTATATCTTCTAACTATTAAATTTTCCTCACTCCAATATGAAGTCATGAATTATACACCACAATTTGCAGTATGTGGATAGAAACTGTCTGTACTAAAAAAACCATAATTTCAAAATTCACAGCAATTTCTGAAAACACAAAATTCCCTGTAAATTAAAGTCTTCCGTTTCCCCAAAACAAACTATTGCTTTATCAAGAATGAATGTGTGTGCTCAGTCATGTCTAACTCTTTGCGACCCCATGGACTGTGGCTTGCTAGGCTCCTATGTCCATGTGATTTTCCAGGCAAAAATATTGGAGTAGGTTGCCATTTCCTAATCCAGGAGAATCTTCCCAACCCAGGGATCGAACCCATCTCCTGCGTCTTCTGCATTGGCAGGTTGGTATATACAACTCTTTAGATGCTGTTAGAACTTTCTCTCACATAAAAATTCTGTCTTCTATTTTTTGACCTTGATAAATACTTAAGGAATAATGAGCTATTATTTACGGCATGTCTCCTGTAAGCTAAACTTTCAACTATGAATTACACAAATTAATTTAATTCTTGGAGTAATCCAATGAGCCCTATCTTACAGAAAAGGAAACAAGTTCGAGAAGTTAAATGATATGCCCTAGGTTACCAAGTTAGCAAGCAGCAGAGCCCTAACTCCCTTTAGCTTCAGCATTTATACTAGAGTCTTCATTTTGGCTAGTAATACTGCATCTGTTATTGCTTTGTCAATTTCACCATAAATCCTGACATTTTCTCAATATATTTACACAAAAGGCTAAGGGTTCTGTTGCAAAAATATCTATTATTCTAGCACAGATGCCATCATTCAATAACTACGTTAATGGTGAGGCTCATCAGCAATTATTTTGAAAGCATCAAAACGAACCGGTAAATTTTTTTCCCATGTGTAGATAACATGCTTTTAAACCCTAAAACTTTAACATATGGCAAGAAAAATGTCATGGGACATACACAAACTTTCTTCTGTATACTACTTCAACATTCTTTTTTGAACTGACTTTAAAAACTTCTATTTAGATCTTTGTTGAGTCTATTTAAATCGATAAATTTTACAGATGTAAAGGTGAAAATCCCTTCATTGTTTAAAAAAAAAAATCATTGATGTGAGGAAGTTAACTGGTGGTGAACTTCCCTAGAAGTGTGGTGAGAGAACATAAAAAAGTTTACATAAAAACAAAGTTATAACATTTCTTAGTGTCAGCATTTCTGATATATACTCCATTTCATTTAAAACACTGCAAATACATTTTGCAGATAATATTACTCCTAAATTACATCTTCAAAGTCAGGAATTTTTACCATGTGGAGATGGGTTATGGCAAGTCTTACAAAACTGTTCAATATAAGACCAAAGCAGAAGGTATATGTATGTAAGCATAATATTCAGAAAGTGAGTACAAATGTTTAGCATTGCATTTTTAATATCATACATATTCATACAGTACTTTATAAACCATGAGATGCCTTCATACCATGCTATCTGATCCTTGCAAGCGGTGAGAAGAGCACACATATTTCCTTATACAGAGCAGAAAAATTGAGGCTTACCCTTAGGTCATTCAGGTGGTAAGTAGCACAGGCCCAGCCTAAAATGAACTATATGACACATGTTAGTTCCCTTCTACCTTCCCATTTAGGAATACTCACTGCCTCCTTAACTGTGGACTAAGTGGGCAAAAATGACACTATCAAGAATTAAAAAAAAAAAATTTATCTAGATCCAGAAAAAGCCCATTTGAAGATGAGCAAAAAGTTTGAAAATATTTTAAGTATTAAAATAGTCAATTTCTAATAACATTTAAAAGAGCCACACAGCCTCTATTTTAGCAATTTAGTCATCCTTTGGTCACTGGCAGTCTCATTCCAACTAGTTTTTCTTAAGAGTTTTTTTTTTTTTAATTTAACTACTGTTTGTTTAATTACTTGTGAGTTGGAAACAGGATTTCTTGTCTTTAATTGGATACTGTTCTCACTGAACTGCATATGAAAGTCTTTACTGCTCTGTCTATATTTTGCTAACATTTTTATTGGAGCATAGTTGTCTAAAATGTGTTACCTTTCTACGGTACAGGTAAAGTAAATCAGCTATACATATACATACATCGCCTTTTTTTGAAATTCCTTCTCATTTAGGTAACCACAGAGCGCTGGGTAGGGGTCCCTGAGCTACCCAGTAGTCAACAATTCTTAATGTCACTCATTAAACAAATATTTTGTAAGCACTTCCTAAATGCCGGGATATATCCTAGGTGCTGGAAATTAAGAAAAACAAAACCAAAAAAATTGTGCCTTCACTAAGGTTACATTCCAGGAGGGAGACAATAAATAGGTAAAATAACCAGTATATTTGGTGGGGGCTCAGGAGCTACAGAGAAAAGTTAAAAAGGGAAAGAGGATAACGAACGGGCGTGTGTTTTGGGGAGCGAGGGGAAGGAAGCCGTAGGATGTTACCCGTTCACCTGGCAAAGTTTATTACCCACATTCAACAGCTGTTAAGTAAGTCATCACGATACGCGCTACGTGGGAAGAGAATTTACACACTTCTGACGTTTCCATCCTCTCCTACTTCAAGAAACAAAAAGAAAATTATTCGACTCCTCGGCACTTCTGCTCTGTACCCCGATTTCCGTATCATACCTTGTTTCTTTAAGGAGAGCAAGCGCGGGGCAAAAAAAAAAAAAAGTTCGATCACTGGTAACAATACCAGTTTGGAAGACCGAAGTTCTTAACAATCGGGTGGGTGATCCCGCGGCGATCGCTCGCTGCCCCGCGTGGCCACCGCCCTTCCAGCGGGCAGCCGGCGCCCGGCTCCTTCGGTTTGCCCCCCAAACCCCGCGCCGCCGCGGCCCCCGGCTCTCCCCGGCCCCCTGCGGCCTGGCCGGCCGGCCATTCCCCAGCCCGCCCACTGCCCGCAGCCAGCTCGGAGCGCAGGGGCCGCCCCCGCTGCCCGCCGGCCCCTCGCCGGCTGCCACGTAACCCTTCGCGGGAACCAGGAACTGCGCGGCCGGCGGGAGGGGGCGGCGTGCGCGGTGGCCGAGGGGGCGAGGCGGCGGCCCCGGTCCCTGCGGGCGGGCGGCGGCCAGGCCCCCGGGGCTCCGCAGCCCCAGGCCAGCGCGGGGCGGGGCGGGCCCGCTCTTTGGGGGCCGGGGCGCCGGCACCTTCCCCCCGCCCCGGCAGGGGTCCCCCAGCGGTCTCGGACCGAGGGGCTGAGCTGGAAGCCCGGGCCGGCGGCGGGGCGGGCGGTTGGGGCGGGCTGGGCTCACCTCGAACATGAGCCCCAGCAGGAAGACCATCGCCACACAGGAGACGATGTCCGCGTGATTCTGCAGGACGAATTCGTGGCTCAGGATTGGGGGGCTCTTGCTGCTCTTCTTGCGAATCGCCATGGTGAAGCCGCCGCCCGTGCCTGCAGGTGCTCCGCCCCGGCTCCGCTTTCCCAGCTGCTCACCGACTCCCCGCCGCCGCCGCCTCCCTCTGGCTGCTCCTCACAGCCCCGCCGCTGCCGCTCGCTGGGGCTTCACTTCCCATCCCACAGCCAGTACGCAGCCGCCTGGGCCACCCGAAAAAAAAAAAAAAAAAAAAAACGAGCCCACGGCGGAAGCGAGCATGCGCACTGGGAGGGACGGCGCTCTCTAGTGCCGCGGCCGCTCTTGCGAGCCCACAGCGCCGCCTAGGGACTGGAGGCCGTCCGCCCGCGGCCGGGCCGGTGGGAGGAAACCAAGCGGTGCCCGGCCGACTCCGCGCCCGGGCGGGGGTTGGGAGTCGTTTGAGGCGCGAGCTCCCTGCGCCTCTTTAACTGGCTGAGTCCGCCCCGGGGTCCGAGGGCGACCACGTGCTACGGCGTGCATTGCTGTAAGCGTTTCCCCCTGCCCTCCTGGCCACACTAGGCTTGGGTGTCAGTGCCTGCTTCCACGCTGATTGTCACTTCTTGAAAGCCAGTGCCACCAGCAAGATAATCTTGCTGACTACAACCTAACTACATAAGGATAGGGCCATTCTTTGGTGTTCGCATCTACCTTAACAGTTAACCAGAATTATTATGAACACACCTGAGAACTTTTTCTTGTTCTTTGTAGCCTTGAGTTAGTTTTTAAAAAAGAACAACTCCTATTTGGTCTCACCTGTCCGTTCCCATCCCCCAACGGGTGTCCGACTGAAGAAATTAGCTTGGGTTTTACTGGCTTCTTACTTTTTAACAACACTCTTGGTTATCGACGAGATGGTTTTTAAAAGTTTATGGATTAGACATGTCCTTCTTTCTCGTTCTTCTACCCAATATAAGACGTCTGGTATACTTTCTCCGGATGAACTGTATCGCTGTCTACGCATTTGCCAAATCTAGAAATCAAGTCATCCTGGAGTGATCTCTTTCAGCGTCCTTCCATATACAGACTATTGCCACACCCAGGCCATTCAGTCCCTCGCCCCACCTACCACTGCTGCAGCCTCAGGCGGGGACTCATCTCTAGCGTACAATAGTACAACTCTGGTGAATCCATTAATGGTTTAAGAACATGGGTTTTTAAATCAGAATTCTGATCACTTATTACCTGTATGATCATGGACAAGTTACTTCATCTCCATGAAACTCAATTAATCATTTATTTATTTAGGTATTCAAAAATTGTATTGGTTATCTACTGTATGCTAAGCACTGAGGATAAAGAACTGAAGGAAAAATACAGTTGAGCCTATTCTTGCAGGCTTTCATTCTAGTATGAGAAGAGGGTCTTTACACAAGATTTTAAAAAGTGAAACATAAACTGAGATGAGAGTTCTGGAGAAAAATAAAGGGGACTAAGGAAAATGGGAAATTACATTTGTCTGATGACTTGAAGAGGTGAGGGAGCAAACCATGTGGATATCATCAATAAAAAAAGAGAATTGTACCTATTTTGGCAATTAAATGAGATGATTCAAAGAAAGTGCTTAGTAGAGAGTTCGGTATGAATGTTAACTGATCAAACAATTACTAGTTTCACTTACTTGCAGTTCCCTTTCAATTTCATATTAAAATGATGCTTCTAACAGAATTTTTCAAAATTTTTTCATGATTTCCCTTCTCCTTCAGAGAATGCTGTGCTTGCATGCTCAGTCACATCCCACTGTTTGCCAGACTGTAGCCTTCCAGGCTCCTCTGTCCATGGACTTTCCCAGGCAAGAGTACTGGAGAGGGGTTGCCATTTTCTCCTCCAGGGGATGTTCCCGATCTAGGGATTGAACTCGAGTCTCCTGTGTCTCCTGCATTGGAGAGAAGCTGAGGGTCTGGGGAAAGCTTTTTTTTTCTTATATGATCTATTTCTTAAAAATTAATTTTCTGAAGTGTAGTTGATTTACAATGTCATGTAATTTCTGCTGTATGGCAAAGTGATTCAGTTATACACATATTCTTTTTCATATTCTTTTCCATTATGGTTTATCTCAGGATATATTTCCCTGTACTATACAGTAGGACCTCGCTGCTTATCCATTCTATATGTAATAGTTTATATCTGTTAATCCCAAACACCCACGTCATTCCTGGATATGATCTGTTGTATGTTTGCACACAGAATGACCCAGTGGAGACGTTTCTTCTGTAGGAAATTCCTACAAATCTGTAAGAGGTAATGGTGTCTAGTGTACAAGCGGAGGACCCATGGTAACAGGGATGGTGTTCCCATAGTAACCAGAGGAGAGCAGAGTCTGTGGTAGGTAAGAATGGCCCGATGAAGTTATCTTCTGGTTGCTTCTATTGTCTCAGTAAAATATGACATGAAATCATCAGGAATGGGTATAGCATATTGGAGATTGAAGAGAAAATGGGATAAAATTGTGGAAGGGTGAATGGATTAGAGGAATGTATTCAGACTGCAGTGCCTCCTTGAGACTTGGGGACTTTGGGGACCTATATTTAAAGTGAGACTCTGGACTTCATGGTGATCCAATGGTTAAGAATCTGCCTGCCAATGCAGGGGACAAGGGTTCCATCCCTGGTCTAGGAAGATCCCACATGCCGCGGAGCAACTAAGCCCACAGCTACTGAGCCCGTGCTCAGGATTTGGTCTCCACATCAAGAGAAGCCAGACCTGAGAAGCCAGAGCACAGCAACTGGAGAGGAGCCTCGCCTCTCCCCTAAAGCCCGCACTCAGCAACAAATACCCAGCATAGCCAAAAAATAGAATAAATAACATTTTTTTTAAAAAGTGAGACTAGTAAGCAGAGTCCCATAATTGTTTCCAGTCCCCTCACCTTGGTTGGATACAACTCTGGAGAAGGCAGGGAGCTGGGCTTACCAGGCCAGCATGATGGAGGGGCAGGGGGACGGCGATTGCAGATGAGGCCCGGGCTGCAGGGAGGTAGCTGTGCTCCTTCCACCCTCCACCCTCCACGCCATCCTTTTTTGCTGTAAAAGGCAAGACTCAACGAGACTCCCGGGTGCGCTGACTTCTAGTTGACTTCAGCCAGTGGAAGGCCCTGGCCCCAAACCAGAAGAGAGCTGGGGGTTTATTCTCCCTCGGTTCCCTTCTTGTCTTGAGGTGGTTCTCGCTGGGGCCATGTTCTCCTGAGGCCACAGCCCCCTGTCAGCCTTTCTCTCACATTCTAGCTCTCGCTGGGCTCAGTACCTCCTCTCCGCTGCCTCTTTAGGTTGTTCCTAGTGCCCAGGAGCTGCCCTGTCTCCGGCGGGTTGCCTCTGTCAGCCTGCTCCTCTGTCCATAGGCCTTTCATGACTCTCCCTCCATCTCGGCCTCTCCTGAGTGAGCCGTCTATACCTTGCCAGTTCCATATTCCCAGATACAGAGTGCTTGGGTCTCAGGCTTGGGGGTGCCTGTGGGGTGGAAGATGGTTGGAGCGGGGCTAGTTGGCCGAGCAGGACATGGGCACAGAGTGGGAAGCTGGGGATGATGAATCCAGAGGGCCTGTGGTCATCGGCCATGAGACGGGAAAGGCATGATGAAGGACACGGGTGGGCGGAGGGGATGGAGGGGCGCACATTGGAAAGGATGAGTGGGGCAGTGGGAGGGGAGGGTGCCCTCCACACACTTCATGAATGTTCTGTCACCAAGAGGGAGTTGAGGGGCAGAACAGAGGGAGCCAGTGAAGGAGCCAGGTGCTGGCGTCTGGCATGAACGAAGAGGATGAAGAGGAGTTGGGAGCTTGGTGAGTGGGTGATGGTGGTGGGGTGGAGGAGAGTGGCTGGTGTAGTTGGAGGGCGTGGGCTTCCCAAGAGGTGGGGGTTTTGAGCAGACGAGACAGAGAACTGTGAGCAGCGGCGGGGGCCATGGGAACATCCACTCCTCCCTCCTGCTCTGTGGCGGGCAAGGCGTGGGAGGGAGAGCAGGTTTCAGTTTCCAGTTAAGCTACACCAGGTTTCCATGCAAGAGGGTGAAGAAAATATGCAAAAGGGGGTGGGGAGTTGTTAAGGATCTGGCAGAGCTGGGGTGCTAGGGAATGCAGTGGAAGGGTGGGGAGTGGGGAGGTTAGCATAAGTCAAATAAGGGGAGGAAAAGCCACGTGGGGGAGGATGTGCTGGTGGTGGTTGATGCTGGAGACTTGCCTCCAAGGGGACTCAGGTGGAGAGCATCCTGCCACATGGGGCAATTACCCAGGTGGCCATTTAGGGGAGAATGGGGAATCAATTCTAATTTCAGCTTCCTTTTTAGGATGGGCTGCTTCAGAAGCTTACTGGGGGGAAGGGGGACTGCCATGAAATCCTCTGAAGGTGGGTCATGGTGGTGGGGAAAGTGGTCTTATGAGGCCCTTAGGGCTCTAGAGACCTCTCTTAAGCAGACTGATTGCTCAGGCATGTCCACCTCTGGCGGCCATCATGGCCCAGCATGGTGCTGGCTCCTATGTGTACAGGCGTTTTGTTCTGGGTAAGTGATGTACAGGCATTATGTTCTGGGTAAGTGATGTTTTGGCAGGTGTCACTTGGACCTCAGGATATTTTTAATAATTTAAAAAAAAACAAAGAAAAGATTGTTTGAAACTGAGTCTGTCCAGGAAAAACTGTGGCATGGGGTTGCTGTAATTATGAGAAATATAGAAGAAACAGAAAGGCGATTTTTGCCCTCTGAAGAGTTATTTCTAGTTGGTTGTACAAGACACATATTAAAAAGGGGAAAAAACCAGTTCTGAGATGATGTGAAAGTAAGTACAACAAGTATGTGTCTAATAAAAGGAAGAACTAACATGTAACTGTTGGGTTTTACCATCTTCTAGGGGACAGAGGATGGAAAATGAGAAACTAATATTTGTTGCATGACTACTATGCTCCAGGTTACATCATTTAGTTTTCATAGAAACCCTATGGAATAATTGTTAAAATTTTAAAATGGGGAAACTGAGGCTCAGAGAGGTTAAGTAATTTGCCCAAAGTCCCAGCGCTGGTAACCTGTTTGTCTGA